GAGCTTTAGACAGCCAAGACCAGATGAGGTAGGGCCAGAGCAGCAAGCCGTGAGAAGCCACCTGTGTCCAGGACAGGACCACCTGAGGGTCAGGAGGAGGGCCAGGAAGGGCAGGGGAAAGCTTCCATTGGATTCTGGTCTTTCCCACTGAAAGCAGCTGGGGACTTGCCCTGCCTGTCTCCTCCCACCACTTCTCACCTGCATTCTCTGAGCCTCTACGGACCTGGCCACCAAGCCTCTGTCACAGCCACTGAAGGACGAGAGGAGTCTAGACCAGCCCTCCCAGGGCTCTTTTCCAAACAGAGGGGCTCTGTTTCCCCGTCTCATGCAGCTGGTGCATTCCCAGTCCGAGGATGGGGCAAAATGTGTCCAGGGTCCCCCTAGGCCGTGGGAGAGGACGTAGGAACACCTTGACACCCAGAGGTCACAGGCACACCTGCATCCCCACAGCCAGCCCCTCAGAAGTATTCTCCCAGGAGGCAGGGTGTTGTATGAAGGAAGCAAATGGACAGTTGCTTTTCTGGGTCTCTTTGAAAGGAAAGGTCTTTGCTCCCTGGGTGACCTACGATAAGAACACTGCCCTCAGCCCCATTTCATTAGAGAAGGCCAAATCCAAAATGAGAGGCTTGTAGTGACAAGTGTCATGCAATGCCTTATATCCAAAGCACAAGTACTGTTAACTGAATCACAGGTGCACAAAACGTTAAATATACACACTCCCCAGAGCGCGGGGGGGGGGGGGGTGTGAATTATACACCAATCTGTGTCCCTAAGATGTAAGGAGGCATCATCAAACTGTGGGAGGGGCTTCTGAACCACAAACCCTTACCCAAAGAAAAGCCAGCTTTAAAAACAATTTTTTTTTTCTAACGTTTATTTTTGAGACAGAGAGAGACAGAGCACGAACAGGGGAGGGTCAGAGGGAGGGAGACACAGAATCGGAAACAGGCTCCAGGCTCTGAGCCATCAGCCCAGAGCCCGACGCGGGGCTCGAACTCACGGACCGCGAGATCGTGACCTGGCTGAAGTCGGCCGCTTAACCGACTGAGCCACCCAGGCGCCCCAAGAAGAGCCAGCCTTTGAGGAACAGGGACAACGGCAAAACTCTTCATTCCCACGGGAGACTTTCTTTTCCCGTTAAGATGCAAGTCCCCAAAACTTCAGTTTGGAAAACAGGTTTCTGGTGGGCTGTAAGGGAGCTGTCATCTGAGCACAAAACTTGCTGCTCAAGCAAGAAGAACAGGGAGAGAGCAGAGATAAAGGCCTTGCACACAGCTAGCAGTTGAGGGGAGCCTTGATTCGGCTGCCCACCGAAATCACCTGTTGCACCCTCCTAAATGTGACTCTCCAGGGCCAGGTTTCAGGTATATGCAGCTTTCGTGAGCTCCCCACGGGTTCTGATGGGCCAGGTGGACTGAGAGCCACTGCCATGGGCAGACCTAGCCCCGCTTCAGGAGAGCAGCCCTTATCCTGAAGGGCAGGGGCACCCCCACCTCACGCACTCCTGAAGTTTCCTGCGGGGGCATGGAGTAGGGTGTCAGGATTCCACTCCTGCCTGTGGCCATCTCCAACCCCACCTTTCCCATGCACCATAGGCAGGTCCCTCTGTGCCAGGCTTGGGGGACCAGATCAGCACAGGTCTGGGAGCGATACGTGGGAAGGAGGTGTAGGGAGAGAGCTGGGTCCCTCAGCTATTCTCGGGGTATGAGGGGCAGGAAGCAGTGGGTCACGGGGAGGAGCCTGGGCCTCAGAAAGGCCCCAGAAGCTTTGGGGAAGCTTTCAGTTAGTTGCGAGTAGCTGGGATTTGGGGACACACACCTGTCCCCAGAATGTTTGGAGATGTAGAGAGCTCCCCGACAAGGTCCGGGCAGCCTCCGGGGTTGCCTGGGTCCCCAGCGGGGCCACAAGAGAGCTCTTGGGGATGGGCTAACGTGCCAGCAGGAAGACAGACAAGTGACCAGAGCAGTGAGGTCCCCGCCTTGCTTCAGTTGGTTCTTCCAACGTAGAGGACGGTGAGGGAAGGGCTTCAAAATCAACACAATAAGGGGTGCCTGGGTGGCTCGGTCGGTTGGGCGCCCAACTTCAGCTCAGGTCCTATCTCACTGTTCCGTGAGTTGGAGCCCCCTCCGGGCTCTGTGCCGTCAGTCTCTCTGAGACTGAGAACAAAGCCAAGGCTCTGCTTTGGATCCTCCACCTCCTCCTCTCTCTGCCCCTCCTGTGAGCACTTGCTCGCTCCCTCTCTCCCTCTCTCAAAGATAAACAAACGTGAAAATAATGATGATATAATCGGATGATTGGAGCAGTGCCTTTACCTGGGGTCACCGTTGCCGTGCTGGCTGTCAGCCGGGGCCGCCCTCAGCTTCTCGAAGCTGCTCTCAGCTCCCTGTATGTGGGCCCCTCCACCCCTCAGCCAGCAACCCTGCATCCGATCCTTCTCACACTTGAAATCCCTCTGACTTCCCTGTTGTTTTTCTCTTGCCTCTTCCACCTTATCTCCCTGCTCTCTGGCCGACTCGTCTGCTTCCTAGACTGTGATTAGGGACCCATTGGGGCCCACCTGGATGTTCCTGGATTGCCTCCTTGAGAGCCAGCTGATTGGTAACCCTAATTACATCTGCAAAGCCCCATCACATCACAGAACAGTATTTGAATAACCAAGGGAAAAGAATCTTCAGGGGACATCATTGGAATTTTGCCTCCGATAGTTTTTTTTTTTATTGTAAAGCTTCTCACTGTCTTTAATTTGCTGATGTGAACTCTGACTCCGCCAGATGGAGGTGTTTTGTTTTGTTTTCTTTCTTTTTTTCCTATGTCAGGTGTATCTGTTAGGATTAGATTCTGTTGAATATTCAGAAAATCTAAAATAACAGTAGGCATTCTCGCATGAAATAAGACTGGAGGTTGGCCATTCAGGGCTAACCCGGCGGTTCCAAGAAGCAACAATAACACAGGCTCCTTCTCTGTTTTGTTTACTTCTACCCTTGGGATTGCTTCATGGTACAGATGGCGGCTGGAGGTCCAGCCATCACATTCACATTCCAGGCTGGGGGATGGCCTGGACGGGTTGATACCCCTTCTGGATGAGGCACCACCTTCCTCTAAGCAGCCTTCCTAGAAGTCACTTCCAGACCTTGAATGTACATTTCATCGCACAGAGCTTGATCATAAGGCCACACGTAGCTACAGGGAGATTGGGAAACATGCTCTTTGGGCTGGGCAATCTGCTGGAATAAAGCCAGGGTTCTGTGGCTTAGGGAGAAGGGAAGTGGGACACTGGGTGGATCCAGCCTTCACTGCCCCCTGAGTATTTCAAGGACATTTGACTACAGATGGCTTTTTTTTTTTCCACTGAGCACACAGTTCAGAAAGTGTGGCTCTTTTCCTTTAACCTGTGGAGAAACGTATTACATCTACCTGCCCCATACATGTACACGTTCTACAGTGGGGAACCCAAAAGTCCCAAAGTGGGGAAAGTATTCTTTCTTTTAAAATTGAGATTATTGGGGCGCCTGGGTGGCGCAGTCGGTTAAGCGTCCGACTTCAGCCAGGTCACGATCTCGCGGTCCGTGAGTTCGAGCCCCGCGTCGGGCTCTGGGCTGATGGCTCGGAGCCTGGAGCCTGTTTCCGATTCTGTGTCTCCCTCTCTCTCTGCCCCTCCCCCGTTCATGCTCTGTCTCTCTCTGTCCCAAAAATAAAATAAAAACGTGGAAAAAAAAATAATAAAATTGAGATTATCTATTTATTTAGAGAGAGAGTGTGTGAGAGAGAGAGCGCTCGCACAACCGGGGGAAGTGCAGAGAGAGAGAGAATCCCAAGAAGGCTCTAAGCTGCAAGTACACAGCCCGACGTGGGGCTTGATGTCCCAAGCTGAGAGATCATGACTTGAGCCGAGATCGAGAGTCGGACACTTAACCGACTGAGCCACCCAGACACCCCAGGAGTGAAAGTATTCTCAGACCAAGGTACATAGTACTGAAGAAAATATAAACAGAGAGTCGGAGGATGAAACCCGAGAGACTGAGAACATCAAGGCGTTGGTGGAAGGCGTTGGGACATCCCAGCGGGGTGTCCCATGGGATAAATTACTGCCATCTGAGGAAACAGACTCCCCTCGATGGCCAGGCCAGGAGAACACCTGGGTGAAGAAGGCGCTGGGCCCGGATGCAGGTTGGTCCCTTTAGAAGTGTGATACATGGGGATCGTGGGTGTCAGCAGGATGGGATTCCCCGGGAGGGAATAAGCTGGAACCAAGGACCTAGGCTAAACCAGGGACTGGGCAGGAAGCGTGGGGTCCAGGTACACACTTAATCCAAGGTCAGTGTGAAGCAACAAGGTGGCCCGTGGCCCACCAGCTTTGGCACCAAGGGGAGGCAGCAGGCTGAGCAAAGCAGGGCTTAGGTGAGTGCAGATACCAAGGCACCCGACAGGGGGCTGCAAGTGTCAGCAGGCAGCGGGAGGTCAAGGGCAGGAAGGCAGAGCAGGGCAGCAGGAAGAAGGAGGCCCCAACTCTAGTTTGTTGGGAGCCCCCCGGAAGGAGCAGGATCCAGGCATGCACACTGGAGGCAGACGCTCCAGGGTCGGCTCAAGGACTCCACACTTCTCCACACCGAAGCTCTGATAGGGAGGCTCAAGCAGCTCTTCCTGGGGAGACGTCAGGCAGCTGGGAGCACCCTGGAAACTTTCGGGGAGAGACGGTTTCTGCTTCAGGTCGGTGGGTGGGCACAGCTGGCATCCCCTCTGGCGGAAAATCCTTGGGATTCAGCAGCACGGCCGCATCGTGGAGCAGCCCCGGGCCTCTGCACCTCCGTGTCAGCCGAAGGCCGGGGACGGCCTTCCAGGAGCAGCACCGCCATGAACAGCGGCCCACAGATGGCCCCACTGGATCACAACGCTCCCCCACTTAAAACACCTCAGGGCTACTTGTGCCCCCTAATAAAGTTCTGCCCCCCCCCCCCCCAGTGTTTGTTAAATGCTATGACAGACAGTGTTCCGTGTTCACCCAGCCCCAGTTCAGCCTCCTCTCCCCGAGGCGGAGGAAGACTGCCTTTCCCAGCCTCCCTTGTGGTGGGGTTGGGGCCATGCGATGGATCCCGGTGGACAGGCCGGAAGCAGAGGTGAGGTGAGATAGCCCCTGGCCAAAGCACAGCAGAGTACGTGTGAGGTCCCACAACTCTCTGCTCCCCTTGCATGGGGATGCTGAAGCCGCACAGCGGGATGGCGAGGTTACAAGATGGTGGGACGTCCATCAGCCTGGATCCCTGGGCCGCTTGGCAGAGACATGGAGATGAGGCACTGAGATCTGTAGTTAATCTCTTCCTGAAACATAACCTAGACTATCCTAGCTAAATACAGCCACCAGATGGACCAGGGGTTCTCCCACGTCTTCACATGAAACCCTCTCACAACCAACTGTTATCTCCAGCGCCACACCCTTCTATCCCCAGACAAGACACAGCCACCCTGAAGATGTCTCGGCCCCAACATGCCCTTCTGTCATGCCTGTATCTCTCTGCCACGGGACATGCCGTGTCATGACCCAAGTGCCCTCTTGTGGTTCTCTGTGGTTAAGCCTCCTGTGGTTCCCTGTGTTAAGCATTTTTAGGCAAGGGGTCTCAGGTTTCACCTCTATGCACAGAAGGAACGGCAACACAGAGCCTCTATTTGGGGGGTCCAAAGACCCCCTCAGCACCTTCTCCAGAGCACTTTCCATAATGCCTTCCTCTTCCCATCCAACAAGCTGGGGTCAGAGCCATCTCCCCACCACAGGTCATGATCTCCTCCCCTATCCTGAGACCTCTGCTTGTTTCTATGGTAACAACTTTCCAGACCTGACCCAATGGGAGACTGGGTGACAAGCCAGTGTGTGGGCTCCCTGTCCTGTCCAAGCTGCAGGAGTACAGAGTGCCCACAGGTGTCAGTTAGAAGCAGCCTGTCCCAAGCTGAGTAAATGGGTGTATTGAAAAGGAAGGAAGGGGCCCCGGGGTGGCTCAATCAGTTGAGCATCCGACTTCAGCTCAGGTCATGATCTCGCAGTTCATGAATTCGAGCCCCACATTGGGCTCATTGTTGTCAGCTCAGAGCCTGCTTGGGATCCTCGGTCCCCCTCTCTCTGCCCCTCCCCTACTTGCACTCTTCTAGAAATAAGTATGTTTTTTAAAAAAGGAACAAAATATTTAAAACTTGTGTGTGTGCGCGTGTGTGTGTGTGTGTGTGTGTGTGTGTGTGTGTAAGGCTGAAACAAAGAGCTATAATTTGGAATCCTTATAAGAAACCTTGGATAAAGGTGTGCTTCCAAAAACTCAAACCGAAGATTCTGAATGTGACTTGAAGTTGTCCCTGGGGAAAGTGCATCTTTCCAAAACAATTAGTCCAACAGAGAACAGGATATGCCACATAATGAGGGAAACTGAAATTGGAACCAAAAAATAATTTCAGGTGCATTTTTCCAAGAGTTCAAAAGACCGTTCAGTCCACAAACCTTCACTGAGCACCTATTAGACGTCCACCACCATGCTGGGAGCACGGCTGAATGGAGGAATATTTCTGCAACTCCGTTCACTTAAAAATAAAAAAGGAGCAAACCTAAATTAGTAGGAGCTATTGTAGGGATCAGGGTACAAAGATGTGCTAGACAATGACAAGAAAATAGAATCCTTTTTCTTGTTGTTTCTCTGCAGACAAGGCTTCTAAAGAGACAAGCCATCTTATTTTCTTTTGAAGCAGACAAGCTGGACGTCCCGGATCAAATGTCAGCAAAATCCATGGGATGTACTAAGACCAACAAACGCTGAACCGGTGAAGTCACTCCGGAGTTATGAAGACATGAAAAGCAAAATACCATCCTGGAAATGTCAGCCCAAACACGTCTCCTATGGTTTTACTTGGCCGCCAGACCAGGAGAGTCCCAGGTCCCCTTGCCTTGCTTGTAACCCTGGAGTCCCATCGCCAGGGGCTCCCAGCTTCATATTTACTTGCACTGGGACATCACAGAACCCCTTTTAATCCGTTTCTTCGCTTGGAAACTTGGTGTATTCATACCTCCTAAAGAGGAGGTGATGTGATGAATATTCAGCACTTGAAGTCGTTCCTGCCACGTGGCAAATGTTCAACAAATGTTGGTCATTATCATCGGAACCTGGGGCTCATTAATACATCGAAAATCATCGTGGCATGGCTCTGTGAAAGGGGAACCGTCGGAGGGAAATCATTTAGACTTCTCCAAACTCCTCCAAGGGGACTATGCCACAAGTCAGCCACTCTGGGAGATGACATTTCAGTATTTGGGGAACTCTTCTCCAGCCTAGCTTTCAACAGGGCCCTAAGCACATTCTCTTGAATACCTGCTGTGGTGGCACATTTGCACCCTAGATGCTAATTTTTGGAAAAAGATAAAAGTCGTTTTCAGCCAAGGCTGGTGAAGTGAATAGGCGACCGAGGTGACTCATGCCATCTATTCAAAAGTGGATTATGATGATGACATAAGGAAACCAGTTCTCTTTAGCGGCTCCAGAGAGCACTGGGATTTCTAGGGACCCCTCCTGGGCACTCAGATGACTGGTGCAGCACTGCCACCTGGTGAAGTCTAGGGGAACTACAAGGCGGTTATTAAAAGGCCAATAAATCCTTAAAAGCACAAAACTGGAAGGCAGAGCTCCTAGACAGCAGCATACTGGAGTCCAGCAACACTGCAGAGATCTCCTGCCCGCCCCCCCTTCACCAAGTGTTCCCCTGAAGTTAAATTAATGCCATCTACTCAGCTAACTCTAAGCCTTTGCCAGGCAATTAGTATTTCCTTCCTTCCTTCCTTTTTATTTCTTTTTAAACCCAGAGACATGAATCACATGCACACGCACGCGCACACACACACACACACACACACACTCACATATATTTAGACATTTTATATATACTGGATGGATAAATCTTAACTGTACCATTTTGACAAACAGATACGCACCGTGTAATCTATACCTCCATTGAGATAAGGAACATTTTCACCACCCTAGAAAATTCCCTTGTGCCTCTCCTCTAAGAGGCAGTGACTCTTCTATTGTCTGTCACTAGGGACCAGTTTTATCTTTTCTAGAGTTCCATGTACATAGAATCACAGTCAGCACTCGTTCAGGAACTCGTTCTTTTTATTGTAGAGTAATATAATCCATTGTGTGAATATTGCATAATTTGTCTTTCCATTATACTGCTGATGGGCATCTGGGCTGTTTCTACTCTTGGCTACAAGAACAGCCCTACATACGAGGAACATTCTGTGGAAGTCTTTTTTGGAACAAATGTTCTCACATCTTGGGCAAGTACTCAAGAGTCAGCTTTCTGGGTCAGTGGGTAGGTATATATTTATCTTTATGAGACACTGCCAAACCATTTTCCAAAGTGGTGGTAGAATTGTTACCTTCCCACCTGCAGTATTTCCTTTTATTTCTAAAGTTCGATTTCTAAAGGAGTCCAATTCTATGGGAGCTGCAAAACAAGGCAGCTCACATAGAATAAGCCTTCATATAAACTATTGCGTCAGCATTAGGTGAAGCAGATGTTCTATAAAACTCACCACACTTTGAAATGGAAACACTTGATTAAAGCATAATATGTCTACTCATAAGAATGTAACAGCTACCTCCAGATGTCAAAACCATAAAATAAAATAAAAAAAACATCACTTCTCACTAAAAGGAACCAAGGATCCTTGGAGAATGGCTGATTCCAGATTTGGTGCAAGGAAAGAATAAAATGAGGGGCACCTGAGTGGCTCACTCAGTTAAGTGTCTGGCTTTGGCTCAGGTCATGATCTCACGGTCTGTGAGTTTGAGCCCCACGTCGGGGTCTATGCTGACAGCTCGGAGCCTGGAGCCTACTTCGGATCCTGTGTCTCCCTCTCTCTCTGCCCCTCCCCTGCTCATGCTCTGTCTGTCTCTCTCTCAAAAATAAATAAACATTTAAAAAAAAAGAAAGAATAAAATGAGCCTGGAACCTCCTGCTAAGTCAGAAAACAAGGGCATACTCAAAGGAAAGGATAGAGGGGCCAGCCTGAAGGGCTCCCACTTATCTACATTTTGTCATAACAAAATGATGAGAGATAAAATTCTCAGTACAAATATCTTACAAAGGACTTGTGTCAAGAACATACCAAGAACTCCCACAAATGAATCAAAAAGATAGAATTATTTGAGGGGTGCTGGGTGGCTCAGTCAGTTAAGCATCTGACTCTTGGTTTCTGCTCAGGTCACTCTCTCACAGTCTGTGATTTCGAGCCCCATGTCAGGCTCTGAACTGGCAGCGTGGAGCCTGCCTGGGATTCTCTCTCTCTGTCCTTCTCTTTCACTCTCTCTCTCTCTCTCTCTCTCGCTCAAAATAAATAAATAAATAAATAAATAAATAAATAAATAAACAAACAAAAATTTAGGGAAAAAAAGAATTATTTTAAATGAACAGAAGATTTGAGTAGTCACCTTCTAAAAAGTAGATACCCAACGTGGCAATGAGAAAGAATGAAATATGGCCCTTTGTAGCCACGTGGATAGAACTGGAGAGTGTTATGCTAAGTGAAATAAGCCATACAGAGAAAGACAGATACCATATGTTTTCACTCTTATGTGGATCCTGAGAAACTTAACAGAAGTCTATGGGGGAGGGGAAGAAAAAAGACCAAGAGGTTAGAGAGGGAGAGAGCCAAAGCATAAGAGACTCTTTTTTTAAAAAAAAATATATGAGGGGCGCCTGGGTGGCGCAGTCGGTTAAGCGTCCGACTTCAGCCAGGTCACGATCTCGCGGTCCGTGAGTTCGAGCCCTGCGTCAGGCTCTGGGCTGATGGCTCGGAGCCTGCAGCCTGTTTCCGATTCTGTGTCTCCCTCTCTCTCTGCCCCTCCCCCGTTCATGTTCTGTCTCTCTCTGTCCCAAAAATAAATAAAAAACGTTGAAAAATAAATAAATAAAAAATAAAAAAAATATATGAAATTTATTGTCAAATTGTTTCCATAAGAGACTCTTAAAAACTGAGAACAAACTGAGGGTTGATGAGGGGTGGGAGGGAGGGGAGGGTGGGTGATGGGTATTGAGGAGGGGACCTTTTGGGATGAGCACTGGGTGTTGTATGGAAACCAATTTGACAATAAATTTCATATTAAAAAATTAAAAAAACATAAAAAGCAGATATCCAAATGTACAATTAGCATTTGAAAAAGTGATCAATATCATTAGTTCTCAGAACAATGAAAATGAAAACCACCATGAGAGACTACTACCCGTGAACCAGGCAATTAAAATTTAAAAGACTAAAATTATAAAGTGTTGAAAAACTGGAACTCTCATACTTTGCTGATAGAGGTGTTGTAAATTGCTAAAGTCATTTGGGCGCCATTTGACATTATCTTCTAAAGTTAAACATATGCCTTCTCCATGACACAGGAATTCACTCCCAAGTATCTATTTCCAAGAGAAAGACATATGCTTACCATGAATGTCCATAACAGTTGTATTCATAATGGTCCCTAACTGGAAACAAGTCAAATATCCATCAACGGTAGGATAGATAAACAAACTGCCGTATATTCATACAACAGAATTTATACCATTAGTGAAAGACAACAAATTGCTGATACATGCAAGATGGTTGGATTACACAAAATGTGGAGTGAGGAAGCCAGATTATATGATTTTTTTAAAACGATGATCAAAAACAAGTAAAACTAGTCAAGGATAGTAGAAACCGAAGCAGCAATTACCTCTGGGGACAGGGAGGTGAGACTCTGGGAAGACGAGGTGGGATGGGGTGGATTGACTGGAAAGAGGAGGCAAGAAGGAGCCTTCTGGAATAATGGACATGTTCTGTATGTTGACCTAAAGCTGGCCGGTGGTTACATGGATCTGTGTATTTGCCATCCGCGGATCCTCACCAGAGTAACCTCTAGAAGATGTCATTCAGGAAGAAAGAAAATGCCTCCGGAAGGAAGGTCTTCTGGAATGCAAGAAGGAATAGAGATAAACATGTGGGCAAATCCAAACACTGATTGTATAAAACAGTGATCATGTTAGTACTTGTAAAAACAACACTTAGGATGGGGCGGTCAGTGCGGTATATTGATTGCAAAGACTGACCCAGTTCTTCGCCCCTCCCTGTGTCCACACCCTTTGTAATGTGATTGTTCAGCTCCCTTAATGCAGAGGTCGAGTCTGTTTTCCCCTCCTCTTGAATCCAGGCCAGCCTTGTGACCTGCTTTGGCCAGTAGAATGTGCTGAAAGTTTTGGTGCGCTAAATTTGAGCGGAGGCTTCAAATGGCCTTGCGTGCCTTTATTCTCTTGGACCTCTGCCACCAGGAGAGCATGTCTGAGCTAGCCCCCTGGAATAGGAGGGAGGAGAGCAGAGACATCCCATCCGAGGCCATCCTCCACCAACCAGCCACACAGCCAACCCATCCCTTGACCCTAGACACTGAGATCAGATCAGCAGCACCATCCAGCTGACCTGCAGATTCATGAGGAATCATATGTAGCTGTTGTTTTAAACCACTAAATTTTATTTAAAAAAAATTTTTAATGTTTATTTATTTTTGCCAGAGAGGCAGAGTGGGAGAGGGGAGGGGCAGAGAGAGAGGGAGACACAGAATCCAAAGCAGCCTCCAGGCTCCGAGCTGGCAGCACAGAGCCCGATGCGGGGCTTGAACCCATGAACCATGAGATCATGAACTGAGCTGAAGTCGGACGCTTAACCGATCTAGCCACCCAAGTGCCCCGAAGCCACTAAATTTTAGAATGCTTTGCTATGCACCAATAACTAACCGAGACAGGAGTGATTGAAGCTAAAATATCCCAAGGTCCTTACTGTCTTTGGAGGAATTACAATGAAATTGAATAAGAGTATGAATTAAGCATGCTTTAATATAATTCAGCTTGTTTAAAATGTTAACAATAACCATGAAAAAGAATGGAAAGAGTAGGTACATTTCAAACCTGTAAGGTAAAAACTAAAATTTGTTAATCAATCCGAAAGAAAACAAGAAAGAAGAGGGGAACAGGCAAAAACAAAGTGCAAGACTGGTATAATATAAAAACATATTAGTGTGATGGTTAATTTTTATAAATACTTCTTTAATGTTTTTATTTTACATCTCAAAATGTATTTATTTTGAGAGAGAGAGAGAGAGAGAAAGAGAGAGAGAAGCAGAGAGAGAATCCCAAGCAGGCTCCATGCTCAGCCTGGAGACTAACGAATGTGAGATCACGACCTGAGCTACAATCAAGAGTCAGAAGCTCGACCGACTGAGCCACCCAGGTGTCCCTGTGATGGTTAACTTGACAGGGCCGGGGATGCCCAAATATCTTGTTAAGCATTATTTGTGCATGTCTCTGTGAGAGCGTTTCCAGAAGAGATTAGTGTTCGAATCGAGGGGCTGAGTAAATC